AGCTGCATGCAGAGGGGCTGGGGAGACCATGGTAGCAGCCTTCCCTTCCCCAGCAGCTCCATCCCCCAGCAGCCTTGCCCAGCTGGGGCTGATCCAGTGCAGCTACGCAGAGTCTATCCAGCCCTCTTCTCGCCCATCCCCAGCCTCTTCCCCCTGGCACGGGTGAGCAGCTCCTTCCCCTCCAGCCTTCCCAGCCCTCCTGCCTCTATCTGCTCCCACACTTACCCCTAGCTCCACTCTTGGCCTGATGGGGTAAACCCAGGGGACTTGTCTCTGGCCGATAGTGTGCTCCTGGCTGCCCAGGACCAACCTTGGTCCCACAAGTCACAGGAAGTGTTGCTATGTGACTGCAGCTCTCCAGCACTGCTCTGGGGCATGGCTCCTGTAACTCCTTGTTTCCTGGTCCCTGGACAGCCCTGTTCGCTTTCACTCCTGCCCTGTCTGCGTTTCCAGCTGTGCTAGAATAGGGACACAACCCCCTCCAACTTTGCCTGCTCCCTGCCAGCCCCCAAAAATGCCTGCTGGTGTTGAATATGCGAAAAAAGAGCAAGGGGTGGAAAACAGTCAGTGTGATCGCTGCTTTGGTCCCCGATTATGGGCTGCACCCAGGCTGGGACATCCAGCTTGATTGTACCCAAAGGTTAGCATCCTTGGGTACCCACCCTGCACTGAGGAAGAGCACAGGTGAGTGGGCACTCATTGAGCACAGCCCAGGCACAGGCCGGGGCCCCGCTGCTGCAATGCCCGGGACCAAGGGCAGGTTTGCTGGGGGCTCCCGACCCCGAGTGAGGTTTCTCTCCACCAGTGGAGCCCAGCGCAGCTGGTACGCCTCAGCCGCCTGTCAATGTGCCTTTGTCTGCCCTGGCTGCTATTTGAGGAAAGTGGAGACTGCTTTTGTGTTTCTATCTCCCGTCAGAGGTATTTATAGCCTGCCGCTGACTAGCGCTGCCAAGCATGCCAGCAGCTGAACCCCGCTCCCTTGGGGTGCTGCTGTGGGCCCTGCTCTTCCCTCTCCCCACAAGCTGTGTCCCTCTGTGGGCACCCTCCACATCCACGAGCTGCTTGGGGCCAGCCAGGCTTGGGAGAAGGGTGACAGGGCATCTCCTGGCACAGCACTTGGTTTGGGATTGGGCAAGGCTGGTTATGGTTTTTCTGCCTGCTTGTGTCCTAAGCAGACACGAGAGTTGCAGGGCTTTGGCCTGGAGCATCGGCAGGAGATGTGGCTTTTGCCTTTTCAGGGGACAGTGTTCTCGTCCTGTTTGCCCCACGTCCAGGACCCAGCCACACCCACCAGCTTTCCATGGGGGCTGTTTTGCATTTAACTTGTGCACATGTTGCCTTTTCCAAAAACCCAGCCAACTGTCTCCCTTCAGCCCCATGTGCCCCATTCATGGGCTCCTGCGTGGCAGAGCCACGGGCTGGGAGGGGGAGGGAGGTCGCTGTGAGCCGCAGCGGGGAGTTGGGGG